ATGCCTAGCATTCTTAAGCAGGCTAGATTAACCTCCAAACAGTTCCAAGATGCCCTTATCTGACTCCCACATTTCTAAGTGTGTGCCAGCCGCCTGAATGCAGTTATTTCTTGGCCACTATGCCAGGGGGACATCTGCCGGCTGCCTCCTTCTCCTCCTTCTGCAGTAGCCAAGCGACCCCCAGAAAAAGCGCAGGGCCAGGGTTGGGGACAAACCCTAGGACAGGAGGACAGGGAAGAACTTTACTAACTCCAAACATGTATGCAGTGCCAGTAGCAGTATCATTCAAATTCTTGTTGTTGTTGATGATGATTCACATATAAGTCTGATCTCACCATCCACCCTCCGCTTAAAAATGCTCCTTGGCTGCCTATTGCTTTTAGGATAACTACTTAAATCCTTATCAATGGGGGAAGCCCTGGGTGGCTTGGCCCCTGGTGACCTCCCTGGCCCTATCTCCCCCTCCTGCCCTTGTGGTCTGGCATTTCTTCCTTGTTCCTAGCACTGGTAGTCTCTTTCTGGCCTTAGGGCCTCTCCTCTGCCTCTTCTGACTCTCTTCCCAATCCGATTTGACTATTTAAAGTCTGAATCATCCTTCAGCCCAGCTCTATCAACACTTCTTAGGATCCAGATGGGGTCCCCTGCTTTTTGTTCCTTGCAGCTGTCCTTCACTGCACTCCTCATATTTGCAAATGCATGTCAACGTACATGACTGCTTGAATCTCTGTCTCTCCCACTAGACTGCAAATTCCATGAGGGTGGGGACAGTGTCTGTGCTGGTCCCTGGGTAATCCTGACTGCGGAGGTCAGGGCTGAGCATGTAGTAAGTTCTTGATAAATCAATGAAGGAAGAAATAATGCTGTCATTGTTGTCATTTGGATGGGGGGAGAGAAGGGAGGCACACAGAGAGGAATCGACTTCGTTGCTCTCCCTCTCTTTCTTCTTGCCTCTCTTTTCCTGCCACTAACTCTGATGACTTCTCCAGCACCCCCTCTCCTCCTGCAAAACTCCAGAAAGGATTCCAACCCCCCTTTATCTTGCTTCCCTCCTCTATTTCCCTGCTAGAGACAGGAGGCAGGAGGGAGAGGGGTTAGGACCATAGCATTTTGTTTCTAAAATAAACGAATGTGAATCCCTGCCCCAAACTGTCCAGAGGGAGCAGAGACCTGAGTCTACCCGAGCAAGCAGAGCCCTCATACTCGTAAATTAACCAAAGTTGTGGAGGCAGAAAACATGAAGGCTCTGCTGTGGGAAGCCGGTCAGCTCAATTCCTTGGACCCGGTACAGCCCATCCTCATGTCACTCATCAAGTCAGAAATTACAGGAGGAGAGTGGGTGCTATTTTCCCACTTTCTTTCTGGAGCTCTGGTTTTCTATTCTGCCCTTTGGGGAAGGGATGGCTATGACCAGGATAATAACACCTCTAAATAGTGCCTCCCTCCTAAGGCAGAGGGCTTCCCAGCCATGAGCTCACAGGACCGTGCAACAAAACACGTTCAAAAGTGTGTTTTTGTCCTTTGCTGCTGAATCTCAGCTAGAATTTGCGTTTCTAAAGTGTATCCCCACCCAGTGACTAAGAAGAATCTCATCTCCCATAACTACTAAGCGTCTATGCTGGCTTTACATAGTCACTTCTAGTCTCAGAAACCACCGACTCTTTTTGTTAGAGAGGAAAACCCAAATTTTTTGCCAGACATCCAAGGCCCTTCTGGCCCAGGCTTCCTCTCCAATGTCCCCTTCTGGAAGGTGACTATCCAGGAAATTTCCTCTCTGACACATCGTTCCCCAATGGCTACTTTGTCATTTGGGTTTTAGGTAGATCTATTCCTCCTGCCCAGAATGTGTGTCTTCCTCCTCTCCATGTCTGGGCACCGTCTCCACCGCATTCTTTTGTGATCAGCACAAGCCCTGACTTTTCCACCCACTCTTTTCTAGCTTCCTCAAACTAAAGCCATGGCCCCTTCTGTGTCCTCGTTCCCTTGGCCTCTCAGCAGCATTCGACCCCATTCCCTCTTGTTCCCTTCAGCTCTGTGATACCTACTTGTCCTTCTCTGCCTCTTTTGTGGAGACATCCTTTTCTCCCCAGCCATTAAATGGTGGTGTTTCTCCAAGCATGGTCCTACGCTCTCCCCTCTCGTATCTTACCGATGTGCAAATAACTCACAAATCTGTATCTCCATCCTAGGTATTTCCTCTGAGTTCTAAACTCTTATATCCAACTCTTCGACTCTCAATAAGTCCCAGGATGCCCAAGATAAATTCATGATCTTTCCTCGTGCTCCCTACTTCCCTTGCCTTCAATCTTGCCCCTTCCAGTGTTCTTTCTCTCAATGAATGGCATTACCATCTATCCAAGTACAAGCCAGAACTCTGGGAGTCACCCTGGGCCCTCTTGTTACAGACATGCTTTTTGATGCCTATCGTGTGCCAGACTCTGTCTTTCATCATGTGTGTCACATTGTTTTTGTTCTCTGTATACATGTGACCTCTCTCTCTACTAAGATTGCAAGTTCCTGGAAAGTAGAGACTCTATCTCTTACACATCATGCCAGGCCCTAACTTTAGCATAGTGTCACATTCCCAGCAGGCACTGAATAAATGTTCACATCTGCTTACGCAGCCATATAGCAATCTATAATGTACAAACATCAAGCTGGATATTCAGAAAGTAAAAGAGGACTGCTCTTCATTAGTGCCACCTAATACCAGATGCCTGATTTGAGCAAACGTCAAGGATTTTAAGGTCTCTTCCTGCTTTCAAATCTGTGACTCTAGGAGAAAGTGTGTTTTTAAACCTGTGGAGAGCCTAATTCCAAGCACTAAGCTTCTAAATTTTCAGAGGCATGTATGGTAATGGAAGGGCTGAATTCAGAACAGTAATTTTGTTCCTTATAGAGTAGTGTTAGGATAGGAAGCAAATATTTCTTCATTGTTTTTTCAAGCATTATGGGGTAACACATTAGGTCATCTGCTTGAAGTAAAAGGTTGAGTCCATTCTGTCCTAATGTGAAGGGTTATGTAAGGTGAAAGGGCCATAAGGGAAATGATTTATGAAACTAACCACAGACATAAGAAAGGGTCAGATTTATAGCATTTGGTAAGCAATTACAGGCATTTTTAATGTGAAAATTATCAGATGGACAGATGTGAATTTTACACACAATTAAGAAAGATTTTTTAAAAATGTGGAGTCTTGTGTTAGCTAAAATGATACATTGCATTTTATAAAATTTCAAGGCATAGAGGAGGACCTAACTAGTCCAACTCCTTATCTAATGCTCTATTCCTTATACAACAGGCATGCCAGGTAGTCAATCAGGCTGTACTTGAATAACTCCAGTGATGGGGTGTTCACTACTCCATCTTTGAACACATCTGATTGTTAGAAAGTTTTTGTTATGTTTGAGCCCAAGTCTTTCCATGTAGCTTTCACCTGTTTGTACTCACTCTTCCCTTTAGAGCTACACAGAGTAAGTTTGAGAACTTGTCCACACAAAGATTGCAGAGGACAGCTCCCAGATTCCTTAGAATTGTGTTTATTTGTTGTTAATTCATTCAACAAATCCCTTTACGTGCCAGACACACTGGAAGAATTGTAAAGCTATACTAATATCTCCAGGGCAAGGACTTGTATCTCCAGTGCTTCCACAATGCCTGGCACAGAGCTGGCATTGAGTGGATATCAATTGAATGAATGGTGCAAGCCGTGCCTCTGAACTAGAGATGCTCACAGTCTGGTTGGCGGAGTCTGACATAGAAAGATATGAATGATAAGGAAAAGACAACAAATCTGAAAGAAAATGGGCGAATGATATCAATAGGAAAATTAATGGAAAATGAAAGCCAAATGGCCAATAAGCATCTGACATAATGCTCCACCTCACTAGTCATCAGGGAAATGCAAATTAAAGTGACAACATACTATTTTACACTCATAAGATTGAAAAAAACTGAAAAGTCTGACAATGCCAAGAGTTGGTGAGAACAAGGAGCAATTGGAACAATAATGCCTTGCACTGGATGGATAGTTGATAAACCAGTTTGGAGAGCCATTTGGCAATATTTCATCAAATCAAAAGTGCAGACCCTTTGACCCAGCAGTTCTGTTTCTGGGTACAGATATGCCTTAGGGAAATAATTTCATGTATGCAGAAAGAGGCATGTATAAGAAGTCCATTGCAGCATTGTGGTAGCAAAAAACTGCAAATAATCTAAGTGTCCATCAATGAAAGAATGCATAAACCCACTGTGCCATCTTCACCAAAGCAATACTTATCATACAACAGTAAAACTGAATGAACTAGATCACATGTATAAACATGAATAATTCTCAGAAATCATACTTAGCTGAAAAACCAGGTTGAAGGGGGCTAAGTTACAGTATTTGCACAAAATTTTAAAACAGCCTAAGCAATATTATGAAAATAACTATACATGGTGAAAATATATATGGGAATGACAGATATCAAATTCAGGATAGTAGTTGGTTATGGTGCCAGGGTAAAGAAATACAACTGAAAAGGAGAATACAGGAGGCTTCAGCTGGATTTAAGATGTTTTATTTTTTTTTAGCTGGATGTGGTTGCATGGGTGCACATTATAACGATTTTTTAGTAGTAATGAACCCTTTGCAGCCATGTTTGTATCTTAGCCCTAGCTGATTGGACCAGAGTGGATACCTGACTAAGCTAGACCACTCAGATTCTCTCTTTTATATATAAATCTGAAATATTTCTTTTTTTTCAAAAAAGGAAAAGGAAATAATGACAATTGTGGCAGATGGTGGTGTTTGGCTGAAATATAGCTATTATAAACCTCATTCTTCCTCGCCTCCTTCTGCCAAATACCTTTCTAGCTTCTCTTGCGTTAAAGGTGGCCAATAGTTCTAATGAATGAGATATAAGCAGAAGTTTTCTTGGAGTTTTCTCAGAGAAAGCTTTTGCTTTTCTGACAATATGGACTGATCAAGCTAGTAGACCTCTTCCTCCCCTTTTTCCTGCTTTGAACATGGATGAGATATCTGGAGCTCTGACAGCCATCTTGGAACCATGAGGAAAGGTCAAGGGAATCACAGAGATGCCAGCCTTAACATCATTGGATCACTGACCTAACACCAGAAACTACCTGTCTCTAGACACCTTGCTATGTAGAAATAAATAAATTTCCAACTGTTTAAGACCCTGTGGATTGGAATTTTTTAAACCTTTTTAACTAATGTGATGGTATGCTGTAAAGTAGTATTATTAATTTCTAGCATATCCTGTTCCAGTTTACCAATATCTCTTTTAGTGATAGGCTAAAGGCTCTCCTCCAGGGGAAACAGATTTTTATCCAATAGAGAAAGGTTGTCACTTCTCTCATTTTAATGTATATATTTATATTATTTTGATCCAAGATCAAGCTTGCTTTTTTGGCAGCTTCATAACACTGGTCATTCATCTTAAACTTACTGTCAACCCAGGTCCCAACATTCTTGACCATCAGTTTAAGATTTATAAAGCAGTGATCCTTACAAGAGGAGGTATAATTCATTTTACTGATAAGCACAGACTCACAGAGGCTACATTGTTTTCCTCAAGGTCCCACAAGTCACAGAATCCCTTTGACCCTTCTTTCCTCTGAGAAGTTCTCTTCAGTCTGCTCAGGTGGCCCCCATGCACCCATGCTTGCATTCTTGGTCCTAGCTGGTTGGCTCAGGGGTGGATACCTGGTCAAAGCAGGACCGATCGCATTATCTCTTTGGAATGTTTTCAGGATTGGAAACTGGTTCTGGCTTTTTAGAATTTGCTGCAATGGATGTGGAATGAGACTAAAAGTCCAAATATTATTTCAGGGATCTATTAATCTTATAGAGCTGGTATGCATAGGTCATCAGAGACGAGAGTGGACAAGGCCTCCTGCCTTGAAATCTGTGTGCTCCCCTCATACTGTGCTCACTCTGTACCTGAGCCAGCCCTGGTGAGCCCTTCCGTCCTGGCCCAACCACTGTGGCTTAGGGACTCCAGGCCTTCATTTCTGTCTCCTGTTTTTGTCTCTCCACATTCACCCTAACATTCTTCTTTCTTCCTCCCTTGAAGGAATTTTTTGCTACCACATCTCTTGTCATGAAGTAAGAAGTTAAAATTTTTTTCCTAAATAGCATACACTTATTCTGTCTATGTCTCTGTCTATACTAAGATCTACAAAAAGAAAGCAGTGGGAAGAAAACACTCTTAATTCCAAGGTAGGCAAAGACTTAAAAACAAATTGACTGGAAGCTATTAGATTGATTCTATTTTTCCTCCTGTGGTTACTTTAAGGCAGTTTTCACGAAAGGCAGATGTCAGGCATTAGAGGGAAACAGATTTTAGGGCAAGGGTCTCTGGCAACAAAGGAACAGCACCTAGGGTTTGGCCTTCTCTGCTTTTGCGTGGGATCAGCCTTGAGCATTTCAGTTTGTGCAATGACTTGAGTGGATTTGTACTTTCATTCCTGAAGAGTTCAGTGAACTTTTTCTTCTGAGAAAGTCTACAGTTGAGTGACATGTTTTAGACCACAAGAGCCCTCCAATTTCAATTTTAATTAGCTGAAACAATCTGACATTTTCTTTTTATTTTTTTTTGGTGTAGAAGCTTTGAAGAATAATGATTGTTCTTGGTCCCTGGAATAGTCTTTAGGAAAAACAAGATAGTTAGGATAATTTCCACAAAGACGCCTGTTCATGGCAGCAACCTCCATTGATAATTAATCCCATTCAGAGAGATGGGTATGGAATTCAACTAACATCTTGTTTCTCTGCAGGAAATGTTTAAATATCTTCCATGTTGCTGACTGTCACTTGGGTCTAAGAAAATTTTAGAATGTAAGTGGAAGATACAAGAGACTTCTTGGAAGCAAATAAAACAGCCTATTAGGTCAAAATGATCATACAAGGAGCCCCTGTGGGTTTTGCATTAAGCATAGCTTTATGGAAAATACAGATTGAGGCAATTAGTCCCTTCCAATTTTATGTAAGCAGTAGCAATGGGAAGTATGCTAAGAGGGATAATTAAGGATTAAATAACAGCATGGGAACTGGATCAGAAGCTCCAAAGTTTTGTTGCCAGCACCTGATATTTCTACAACACCACCTCCTTGATTGTGAAAGGCCGGGGCCCTTCTCCTGGACCCCACCCCTTAGTCAACTTACTGCTGAAGGGAAAGTTGAGGATTCTGTCTCCACCAACTTCTAACAGGGAACACAGCCAAGAAAGGCAGGAAGAAGCATGCTCATTTCCAACCTTTTTGGCAAGCTCAACTGGGAGCAAAAGCCATTGCCAATTCTATTTTCTAATACAGATTTAAAAAGGGTTGTGTCTACACATGCAAAGGGAAGTGCACAGTGCACTGTGTTAATTTAAGCAGCACAACAATTTTTTTAACGGAAAAAAAAAAGCCTAAACCTTTGCCTGACTATCCAGGTATTTGTTTTCCATGTGGTAGATCCAAATTGGGGTGAGAGACTGAAGTGCAGCCATATCTTCTGCAGTCCTATGTATGCTGTCCAGCCTCTCAGTTATCACCCCACCTGTCCCAGGTTGGGCCAGAGACCATCCCTGAGACTTTTCAATCTGAAACTGGGAGACAAAAACTCTCCTTCCTTCTGGAAACAGAATTTTCTAGATCTAGTGGACCCTGATGTAAGTGGCTCTTTGGTAGTTTGAGTTGGACAGCTATCAAGAGAGGGGAGGAGAATCAGAGTGAGCATGAGAGCTAGAGAATGCACGAGTCCCACTTCTCTCTCCTCTAGTCTGTGAGTGTTTCCCACAGCCTGTTCTCCAGTAATATTTAGAAAGTCTATTTGACATTTTCTGTGAAAATTTGGGCTCAAAAGATCATATACGAAAGAGAAATGTTCGTTTATTTAGTTTGTACTAAATTTAACAGCCTTCTATTTTATTTTTTTCCTTTTTTTTTTGGTGAGGAAGATTGGCATGGATGTTAGCTCAGGGCCAATCTTTCTCTATTTTGTATATGGGATGCCGCCTCAGCATGGCTTGATGAGTGGTGTGTAGGTCTGAGCCCAGGATCTGAACCTGTAAACTCCGGGCTGCTGAAGCAGAGTGTGTGAACTTAACCACTACGCCACCGGCCCAGCCCCTAACAGCCTTTTTATATACTAGCCTTTTTAACTGAAAAAGTATCCTGGTCTTATGCCATCACAAATAACACTGCAATGAGCATCCTTACACCTATGCCTTTATACACTTGTTCCAGTTTCGCTCCAGTTCTCGAAAGTGAAACTGTCAGTCAAAGGGCGTTTTGGTCTCTTTTGAGTATCCCCCAATGCCCAGCCAAGCTCAGCTGAGGAATGAACACACGGCATGTGCTGAACAAGAGGCCGTGTAGCACTGTAGTTGGAGCACCAACTCTGCAAGCAGCCAGTCCCAGCTCTGCAACTCGTGGCCTGTGTGACCTCGGCTAAGTTATTTAACCTTCCAAAACCAGAGTTTACCATCTATTAAATGTAACAACAATAATAACATATTGAAGTAGCTGTGTGCCAGGTACTGTTTTAAGTGCTAGATTCATTTACGTCTCAAACAACCTTATGATGTAGGTATATTAATATCCCCTTTTATAGATGAGGGATCTAGGCACAGAGAGGTTACATACTTTGCCCACAGTCACACAGCTAGTAAGTAGTTGGGCCAGGATTTATCCTCAGGAAGTCTGGCTTTAGAGCCCATCTTTTAAACACTTCCTCATAGGAGACTTGCATATGATAATGAGCCTGATAATGAGAAGATAGGTAGATATGTAGGGAGGCAGGTAGGTAATAGATGGAGAGAGGGAGAGAAAGAGAGAGAGAGAGAGAAGGAATTTAGTATTGTGTGTGGCCCTCAATGAATTCATGTGGCCTGGCTACAGGAGAGATATGAAGCCAATCCTTCCTCTTGCAATGCACATCCTTTAAGAATAGAAAAGCTGGCCTGACTGATTTCCTTAAGATTTCATTTCTGTGAAGAAGAAGGCTGGGAACGGAGAAGCATGTGACTGTGGAGATCTGTTAAATCTGTTAGCCCAGAAATCAACAAAATCACAGGAATATGTATATTTCTTAGACTGGGAATCAAACGGTACTGATCAAGGAAGTTGTAATGACTATGAAAAATTAACCTTCCATCTGAGGAAGCCAAAACAGGAGGGTGGAGCTAGATACAGAACATGACCTCGGCTGGGAACAACGGACTGTCAAGCCAGACCATCTGGGGAAATTCTTTCCGATCAAGTAAAGTATGATATTCCAGAAGGGGTAGGTGGGGTTCCTAAAGGGTGAGGTCGGTTGTTCCTGGTTAAGTGCTTTATAAGCATCATCTCATTTAATCCTCACAACAGCTGTCTGCGGTAAATGGGATTATTGTCCCTCTTTGACCAATGAGGAAACTGAGGCACAAAGAGGTGATGTGACTTGCCCAGGAGTCTGTGCTCTTAGCCACCATAGTTAGCTTGAAGAGGAGGGACAAGTTTCTTCCACAATCAACACGGCAGAGATAGGGGTGTGTGTGTGCCACTAGGTGGGTAACCTTGGGCAACATACCCCATAGCTCCAAGCCTCTGTGTTCTCATCTGTAAAATGGGCATAGGAGTGGTATCTAATTTATAGATAGAGGGGTAGATGAGACAATTCATATAGAACACTGAGCACAGTGGCTGGCACGTGGTTAGCACTCAAGAAACATATTAAGAACCAGAAAGTATAGATTTATTTTTTTTTTTTACTGGTGTCAAAAGTCACACTGACTAAGATTAGGCCCTTTATATCTATTGTAACAATTTTATAGAGTAAGGAGTATCAAAATGTCTCTTGCTCAGGAAGTGGAATAAATATAGTGTGGACCATATGTCAATAATTCTGATGAAGCCAAGACTACTCTTATGGATTTTTTTTGCCAGCAACTGGCTGGACTCCATGTGGCTTCAGAATTGCCCTCTGTGGGACTGAACTGTGCTGTCCATGGAGTAAGGATCCAACTATAATCTTTAAATTATTAACAAAACATAGAAATCTAAGGAAAATTCACAAAAATAATCGTCCTAGCAAGTAGAATAGACCTTTGCTTGG